TGGTCCTGCCAGCCGGGCCTCCCTCCACCGGACTTGCTCTCCCCTTTTCTCCAAACGTCCACTTGCGTTTCTCCATCCCTCTTGCCTGCTCCAGTCCCTCTTTTTTTTTTTTTTTTTTTTCTTACCCATTTGTCACTCACTTATCAGTTCAACTGTTAGCAGAAGGCATCCGGTGTGGGTGGAGGGATAGAGATGATTCAAAGAGCACCAAAGCCGTGTATCTTTCTCTGAGCCTCAGTCTTCCCATCTGTGAAGTAGACATCCTAACAGGGCTGCTTTACAAGGTTGTTTGCAAAGCAATCTTTTACTGCCTCAGGCATGATTTAAGTCATGAAACTTCACTGTAGATAAACTGGAAATTACAGCTGAGCAAAAAGGAAATAAAAACAAAAATCACCCACAGTTATCCAGAGGCAAGTGGGGAGAATATTTTGGTGTTTGTTTTTCCTGCCTTTTTCTTTTTCAGAGAGAACAATTTTTTTTTTTTTTACTTAGCAAAAACTTACTCGCAAAATGTATTCGTTTCTTAGAAAGAACTTTGGAGCTTACAGAAAAATACGAAAAGAAAAATGCCCCCAAATTAACATTACTATTTTTATATTCTAGTGATTTAAAAATTATACATGGCACATGTGGTCATGTTCATCAGTGAACGTTGCTCGATTCCTGGTGGAGCTGGGGGAGGTGCCTTAGGAACAAGGCCCTGGAGCCCCAGGCCTTCCCCAGCTGGATGGTAGTCCCCTGACCTCTGTGCCCTGCCTTGCAGGGTTCCAGGCCCGGCCAGAGCTCCTGGAGGTGTTCAGCACTGAGTTCCAGATGCGCCTCCTCTGGGGCAGCCAGGGCGCCAGCAGCAACCAGGCCCGGCGCTATGAGAAGTTCGACAAGGTCCTCACTGCCCTGTCCCACAAACTGGAGCCTGCTGTCCGCTCCAGCGAGCTGTGACCCCCACGGACCCCTCCCCTCTGCAGCTGCGGGCAGCAACAGGGACAGAGGGGGCACAGACCTTTCCCCAGAGCACCCCAGAGACACTGTGATCAGCCCAAGAATGTTCTGGGCCCAAACCAGGATCTCCGTTGCACTTCCAGGGTCCTGCATGGACCCTGGGCTCCGTCCCACCTGCTACATGCCTGCCAAGTCTCCCTTCAGGAAGAACCGGAACCCTCTCCCTCCCTCCAGCTTCTGCTTCTCCCCTTCCTGCTGAGGTGCCCTGTGCTTGAGCCAGGAGAGAGCCTTCGCACCTCCTCACTCTTCTCGGGGCACCTGCCGGACACCAAGGCCTCCACCTGGTTGTAAATATGTCTGTCTGTTCTGTAAATAGATGTACAGAAGCCATGTTCGTTCTTTCATATAATAAACTTTTATGACTCTTTCTTCTGTCTCTCAGGGGGCCCTGGGGTGGAAGGAAGCATCTTTTCTCAGATGAAAAGGGGAAAAAGTGATTCAACGGTAAATACTTAGCCCCTGGGACATTTCAGATTCTACCAGGAGCCAGAGTTACAGCCAATACTAAAATCCAGTCCCAGGGGCGCCTGGGTGGCTCATTCGGTTGAGTGTCAGACTCTTGATTTCACCTCAGGTCATGATCTCGTGGTTCATGGGTTCGAGCCCCAAATATAAATAAAACCCAGTCCCGGTCCTGGAGGAGCTCACAGACTAGTGGTGGAGATACACGGCTAATTCCAACCAGTGGGAGAAATCCTGGGCAGCCCCTACTAAGGGGAAGCCCAGCTAAGTTTCCCACAAAAGCACTACCAAGCATTTCAGATGTTTGGGGTGGAAGGGTGCTTTTTTTTTTCTTTTTTAGAGAGAAAGTGCAAGTGAGCAAGGATCAGAGAGAGAGAATCTCACAACGGACCGAGAGAGAGGGAGAGAGAGACAGAAAGAGAGACAGAGAGAGAGAGAGAGAGAGAGAGGTGGGGCTCACCCGCTCATGCTCACCTGATATGGTACTCGAACTCAGAAACTCTGAGATCATGCCCTTAGCCGGAGCTGAAGTCAGATGCTCAATGACTGAGCCACCTAGGCACCCGGGCTTTTTGAAATTTCGGATTCCAATTCCCTCTGGAAAATTGAGAACTGGAGGTAGAAGGTACTCCCCCTGGGTCACTGCCGCGGAATGAGGAAGGCTGGAACCTGGGTGTCCTGACCTGGACTTCTTTGAAGTGGCCCCAGAAGGCTTTGTGTGTGTGTGTGTGTGTGTGTGTGTGCCCACGAGTAGGGTAGCTGGGGCAGGGAATCTCTAAGAAGGGCCCTGAAAGCAGTTGTTTTGATTCCATGGATAGGGGAGGTAGGCAATATGGATCAAAACGATTCCTGGCCAGGCTGGACACCTGTGGAGCCTGTTCACCGAATACAAAACTTCTGGGGTCCTTTGCCTTCTAAATCCTTTGACCAAGAGAGGCTGGCTAACATAGTGCATTAGATCTTTGGCAGCAGCTTGACTCGGGTGGCCTTGGACAAGAGGCTTAATCCCTTGGATCCCAATTTCCTCCTCAATGAAATGCAGACAATAACAAGATCAGTTCCTCAGGACTGATGTTCAAGCACTTAGGGCACAGTAGCTGCTAGGTAGGGGACTGCCATGTTTCATACATAATAGATTGTCAATAATCATTTATCGATTACTGAGTCAAAACACTTTGCCTGTATCTCATTGAAATATCACCATCTCTTATTTTAAGTTTATTTATTTTGAGAGAGAAAAAGAGAGAGAGAAATAGAGTGAGAGAGAGAGAGAGAGAGAGAGAGACAGAGGTGGAGGGACAGAGAGAGGAGAGAGAATCCTAAGTAGGGTCCGCACTGTTAGTGAGATCATGACCTGAGCCAAAATCAAGATTCCAACGCTTAACCCACTAAGCCACCCAGGCGCCCCAAAATATCACTATTTCTCTTCCGGACAGGCACTGTTATGATCTATAAGGCACCTAACACTAATGGCACGTAGTAGGTGCTCACCAAAAGCTATATTACTGAGCGCTCTTTTAACGTGTAAAAGAAAAAAAGAGCACGGAAAGGGCTCTTTGCAAGTTTTAAGGTGCCGCACAAGTTTTTGCTACAATTGTTACGTCACCCTTTGTGGCATAAACCTTTATTATTCTTTCGGCATGATTACGGTCTCCTAGTTACCGTGGCCATGGAAACGTGGCCCGCCGTCCTGGATTGGGCGGTTCGCGGGCTCCCTCTAGAGGCTACCTTGAGGTTCTGCTGCCGGACGGCGGCGCGGGCCTCTCAGAGGGGAGCCGGGAGTTGTAGTCTACGGACAGTGGCTGCCACGGAG